CGGATTTGAGGAGGAAAACTACCCTGTTGTCGACTACGAGTCAGATCTTCAGACCGCCATGTCGACAACAGTTAGATAGGCTACCCCAAATATTATACTGGTGTGATTATGGTGAATAAGAGCAATATCGGCTTCGGCCAACAGGATGTAGAGTTATTACCTGACAATTCAGGGGCTTGAACCTGTATAAAAATCCTCGTCTCCGTCTCTTTTACCTCAGTCTCGCGTATATCCTAGTACCAACGATCCCCATACCATGCAAATACCGGAATCGCGGCATCAAACGTCGACACTGAGTATATACACTCCGAAGTATATTGGTGTTACGTCCGCGTGTATATGTCAAGCTGTGTACCTAAAACTTGGAAAGTGACCCGCAGGGCATATTTTGTGACTCAAATAGCTAAATTAATGGTGTCATGAATGGAATAATTTGGTAGATACATTACCATAAAAATGTGCTGCGATATATAGTATCCATGTTTCCGAATAATTAGTTTCCATGTTTTCAAATACGAAGGATCAATATTTAGTATTACATACCTAGTTGGCAAAAAAAGTCCAATTTTCCATATGATTAGTTTCCATTTTTCACCATTATATTACCATATATTCAAACCTCACCGTGCAATCACGTAACTTTCCATATTTACAAGATATTATTTCAAATTTCACTGGCAATTAATGTTTCCATTTTTGAAATGTACACGCAATTATGGAAATTCTCTCATCCGCACTGCATGCATGCATATATAAATGTATTACTTCCTTTTTTAATCTATTCAAATCTATTGAATCCATTCACTATTAAAACCTGCACTCTAAACGGGTCTATACCCATTATGCTCATACACTCAATTGATCAAACCGATCAGCAACCATCCAATCAAACCGATCAGCAACCATCCAACGGCTCCCAACATTGGAGCCCATACTCCATGGAGTCTCTTGCAAGAATTGGATGTAACTTTTTCTGTAGATATTCGTGGATATATCTCTATATACGATTTCCGGGTCCAAGACCCGGCTTGAGATTGGGCCACGTGGCGCTACCAGCATCCAGGATTGCCTCCCCTAACATCGTGCCACGTGGCCCTCCTCATCCGCTGCTCCACCCAGTCCAAAAAAAAAAAATTCAGGCGTAGCGATCGAGCATTTGAGAGAAATCATCACCAGGGAGAAACCGTCAGCGCCGGCATCCCCTTTCACCCCCGCTGCCGATCTCCACCAGTCCATCACTGCCGAATCAAGAATAGCAGATTGCATGCATCGAGCTCATCCACCCCGCATCAATCCCAATCCCATATCAAACAACATCACAGGAAACATTGAAAAACATCACAGAAATCATTCACTAAAACATCACACAAGAATATCTAAAATCTAAATAATCGTCTCGCCACCGGGCAGCCACCGCTTCCCGCCGCCACGCCGCCACCGCCTCCTGCCGCCGGGCCGCCACCGCCTCCCCTCTCGCTGCCGGATCTGGCGGAGGGGATGGCGCCGCAACCGGGCCACCGACGCCTCCGCCGGATCAGAAGAGAGGGGAAGGGGACGAGAAGGAGAGGGAGTGAAAGGGCGCGCCGCTGCCGTGGGGCACATACCCGGATCCGCGCGCTCGAGCGGCCGTCGCCGCCGGATCCGCGCGCAATAGTGGCCGCTGCCGCCGGATCCGTGTTCGCGAGCGACCGCAGCCGCTGCCACCGCCTCCTCCATCCGAAGCCGCAGCCAGCCCCACCACGCCGTCCCGGCCTCCACATCGCACGGAGCCGCCGCACGGCCTCGTCCTCAATGTCGCCCGGCCACGACGTCTACGGCCAGCCGCAACGCCTCACCGGCCTTCGCACCCGCCGCGCCGCCGCCGCCCGTCCGGCCTCTGCACCCGCTGGCGCCATCAAGGGAGGAAGGGGAAAGAAAAAGAAAGAGAAGGAAGGGAAGAAAGATAAGGAAGAAGGAAAGAAGAGTAGAAAAGGAAAAAATCTCCATATATTTTGCAAAATGGCCCTTGTGGTTTTCGAAAATTAATCGCATATTCCTCTACATTGGAAACTTTGCGTTTCAAACCTTGACATTTCTAGAAAATATATAAATGGCCCTCTGTATTTGGAATATTTGTTTGAATGACATTGTAAATTTGTAAAATACACTTAAATTATATTTCAGATATTTATGATTGTAAAATTTATTAATCGCATTTATGATTATTGATTATTTGTAATGCTTTTATTTTTTTAATTAATATTGCTGTAATATATATATAATTACGTAAAATATATTGGAATTATTTGCGGGAATTTTAACCAAGATGACTGATGATATCGCGAACTAGAAGTTTGTTGAATCTATAGTATATCAGACATATACATTCAATATCGAAATTATAATGGACCTAGAAGCTCAATCATATCATCAAACCAAGTGTTCTGTTCACTAACTCGATGTAATTGAGCAAGCACTTCTATCTCTTGTCGTTACGTCCAAGCTACTCTGATGAATGAGTATGCTAAGTGGATAGCAGTTTTTGAATATTATGGTGCACCCTATCACTCATAGAACAAGAACTATGAGAAATAATGAGTATTTTCGACTATGATTCACTGAGCAAATAACCTATATAGTATGGTAGTACGGTGCACCAAATACTGTAGAAACTCTCGATGATTCTACCCGAACTCGACGAAAGTCACACGCAAATATCACTAGGATTACATGTACTTCTTTTTTGCAACTATTGTTTTATGCAACATATTTTAATTATAGAATTAAATTTGCAATTCTTAGCTTTTATACAATATATTTTGTAACATATTTTAAAAACATGATTAGATTTAACCAAATAATTGTAGTTTTGTGACATTTAATATAAATACAATCATTATATTACGTATATACAACTATTATATTTTTTTATTAATTAATGTAACAATTTCTATGCGATCAAAGCAAATACCGTATTATTTTCAAGCTATCTTTATAATAAAATAGATAGATTGTTTTCACCTGTTGAAACGAGGAATAAAATGAAACGTGGATAGAAAAAAAAACAGCAAGAGAGGTGCCTTTTGCTTGATAGGTTGCCCGCAACTAATTTTATCAAGTTCAAATTTTGCTCTGCCATGAGGCAATGGGCATCAAATTAAAATTTTCTATATAATTCATGTACATATATCAAACTAAAATTGTGCTAAATGATATGCGTACGCTCCTCTAATGGGTAAATTATGATTTTTACACACCCTGGGTAAAAATTATGCAGACGATAAAGAAAAATGTCCAGTTCTACCAAAACAATTTTGCTGAACTTTTTCATCTCAAAAAATTTAAATTTACAAATAAGCCCTCAGTTTGGAGTATTTATAAATGGCCCTAAGATAAAACTTATTAATAAGTAGGCTATTTTTTTTATAAGTTGGACAAGTAATTTTGTTATGTAATTCATGTGCATATATCAAACTAAATTTTGCTATGTCGTGTGCATATGAAACTCTATTGGGTAAATTATGATGTTTCCACATACCCCCTCTAGAGATAGAGATATACACTAAATATTATGTAAAGGAAAAAATATTCAGATTTGTGATTTTTTTTTACAAAAATACATCAAATTTCCTTATGATATTTGGAAATATTTTAATCTTCGATAAGTTAGTACAAAACTAAACTCTCTATCCTAAATAAATTTTACGAGAATTGAACTAGCCGTTCTGACAATTGTGTAAAATTATTGTGTTCTAAATAAACCATAAAATATGTACAATCTATTTTCCATGAGTTTTAAAAACAAATAAAATTGACAAAATTGAAAATTGTAGAAAAACTAGAAAACTAATAAATATATGTTCTAAATAAGTCATAAGTGTTATATACACGTTATAAAAGTAATAAACGCGCCAACTGCCGCGCCATTTTCTAATTATTTGCCTAATTTCGAGTCTGTATGAGAAAGTTATGCCTATTTTAAGAAATGACACCCGAATGACACCTATTTTCGGTAGAAATTTAGAAAATTCTACAAGTCACATATTTCATTTATTCGAGTTTATTTTTTTTATGGTTGGTTCTTGTGTGCTCATAAGTGTGAAAAAAATAAAAATAAAAATGTTGGACATCTCTCTCCTCTACGCTATAGAGGAGAAGAGAAAAAAAATGGCGCCGGGGAGGGGGGCGGCGCCAGCCACACTGATGCCCTCCCCCTGCCACCTCATCACCGCCCTGCCACGTCAGCACAAGGACGGCGCCAGAGTGGCTGGCACCACAAAAAGAATCATTTTTAGGATAAGTTTTTTTAGAAGTCTATTTACGAAATAAGTTTTTCAAAAAGACCAAATTGTGAAAAATCCAGCAAAACCTCCCGTTTCCGTTCGGATCCATACAGTTTTCTCCCAAAACGTACGCGTGTTACAGTGCAGTGTAACGGATTTTGCCCGAAACTGAAGCTCCACCACCGTTTCCCCCACAGATCTCACTCCTCGCTGCTCCCCCGCCATGGACGACGCCGCGAACCCCACCCCGACTTCCTCCTCCTCCTCCGCCGCCGCCGCAGCCGCGGCCGCCGCGGCGCAGCACCAGCAGCTTCAGCGCCAGATCTTCCTCATGCAGCAGGCCCAGGCGCAGTCGCAGTCGCAGGGCCACGCCCCGACGCCGCAGCAGCTGTCGCAGCAGGCCATGTCCCGCTTCCCCTCCAACATCGACGCCCACCTCCGCCCGCTCGGCCCCATCCGCTTCCAGCAGCCCCCGCAGCCGCAGCCGCAGCCGCCTCAGCCTCCGCCACAGCCGCAACCGCAGCAGCAGCAGCCGCACTCCGGGGCCCCGTCGCCGTCGCAGTCGCAGGCGTCCCCCCAGCAGCAGCAGCAGCAGCAGGCGGCGGCGATGGCGGCGGCTGCGGCGAGGGTGCGGAGCCCCGAGGTGGAGATGGCGCTGCAGGACGCGATGCGGGTGTGCAACCCCGACATCAAGACGCCCTTCCAGTCCCTCGAGGACGCCGTCAACAGGTGGGGGAATCGCACCAAATTTCTCTGCATCTTTTTTTTTTCTTATATACGTTATTATCCACGATTTTGCTGGTAATCCTCATCCATTTGATTTCGCTGCGTCAGCTGAAATTGGGGTGCTTTAAATTTTTAACTGTATACTGATTTAGGCTACGCGTTCCGGATGAATTTGTTGCCAATTCGGGCTCGAGGCTTGCCCGGATCGTTTCCCATTTTTTGGGTTTCGATTATTAGAATTTGGGAGCGTCTTAGAAATTTTAACATTAATCTTCATTCCTTGTTAAACAAATCAGACAAAATTCTCCCAAAAGGTGAATAGTAGGGGCATTAGGGGATTGGAGGATCAGGACAACATTTTGGCCTGTATGTCTTTTCTTTTCCACAGAGCAGATTGTTAATGCTGTATGTGGTTCATGAGTGAAACTCGTGGTCCAATTTAGGACCAGTTTAGCACGAATTGCAGGTGACATGCTTTTCGGCATATGTGCCTCTGGTTATTTTCTATTGATGGGGATTTTGTTTATTTAAGGTGACATACTTTTAGCTTTTGGTCATATACTAACCAGTAATTGCAAGCTGGTTTCTTCGTGTAGTAACTTGAGTGATTGTATGGATTGCTTTATCTTAGCAGATTGTTATCTTAGATGTTTTAACTCCAGTTATTCTTAACCCACATAAGATTTTTAACTGTTTTAGTCATTCTTAACTTCTTTTCCCTGATCCATTCCATTTTAGTGACTGAAAAATTCTTGTTTCAGCATTCTGCTCAAAATGCTTAATGAGCATACAAGCAAAGAATGTAGTCAGAGCAACCAGAAGTTATGCAGCATAAACTAAGTTGAATAAACTAAACTGCATTCAGTATTTTTTAAGATAGCAAATTTTCCTCCTTGTTTCTATTCGGTGATAAATGCAAAGGTCCATAATACTTTTACTAGCTTTTCCAAATAATCGCTGACCATGGTTGAGTGGAATAAATGGTATGCATCTGCTGTTAAGGTCAATACTTTATTTAGCAGTATTTTCTTTGCTAGTAGAAAACTCTTTTATTTTGCTCGGATCTTACTATATTGTATAATGATTTAGGTAGAACTATGGAAGGGCATATTGTATTGGGAACATTTATAGGAACCCTATTGCATTCCAAGAGATGTATGAGGCACAATGACCACCCTACAATGAGAGCTTCCTGTTCATTCTTTGCATGGAGCTTTGCGCACTAACATGGTTTTCAAAATGTAACAATGACCACTAATTTCTTTTACAACGTATTTATAAAACCTAACTCCATTACAAAAGTACTTTCTGTAACAAATCTACACATACAATTTTCATTTTTCTTGCTTACAATCCAAATATTTGAAAAGATATACATGTATGAAGTTTTGACTTAGGACATGTCCAAATTGACATATTTTTTTCACTGGAAGGGGTATACCTTATATATCTTTGTATGATTTCTTAGAAAAATATGACTGCACCTATTAGTGCGAATATTTTCTTGAGAAAAAGAGTTGCTTCTGGGTACTGGGGCCAATTTATGTACCAACAAGTTTGTTCTGTATGAAACTACTCTTTATGAGAAAAACTGGGAAAAAAGATTTTAATGTTAGGATGTCTGTGCAAAAATTATTAAGTATTATATAAATATGTTTTGAGAACACAAATATTCTAACTGTCTGTGGACGATAGGACTAACTGCATACAATTACTACTTGAGTTCCTTCAAATTTTTAGTGCACATATTAACCAGATCTTTTTCTATTATCTTTTTATGGTATAGTTGGGCACACAGTATACACGCTTCTAGATTTGTTTCCTTTTGATATATGTGGTTGCCTCTGGCATTCAAGGTGTTAAATTCACAGCAACCATTTTTCTTCCAGACCATAAAAAGCTTAATACTTGGACCATAAGTTTAATAGTGTAACCTCTGAAAATTGGTTGGCTGCCTGCCACAGGAGTTCTATTTGTTAACATGCATGATGGAAGGCAGATCAGTCCTAGTTTTGGTAGTTTTTCAATAACAGGGTTGTAATCATCTATTTTGTTAAATATAATTTGCGTTGTTTAAAAACAATGGGAATTACAGGGTGGCATATTTCCAATTTTAAGAATCTGGGTGGCATGAAACGCCGTGTTTTGAAGTGGCGTGTACCACATTTTCTGTTTAGATATTACCATTTTTACCAATGTTATAGTCATGTTTAAAATACTAAATCGGCACTGTTTTGATTAGCGGAGCACATAAAAAAGATTACTACCTTCCATTCGGACCCACACGGTTTTGACCCAAAAGGTATCTGCGTAGTCACATCCAACTGGCAAGTTTAGGACTGGTGTATCCTTTCCAAAAAAGTTTAGGACTGGTTTAACAAATTTTGCCCGAAACAAAAGCCCCACCATTTCCCCCAGATCTTCTCCTCTAGCCAATCCACCTCCGCCCCCACCATGGACGCCGCCGCGAACTCCACCCCGACCTCCTCGGCATCCACCGTGGCGCAGAACCAGCTGCACCAGCGCCAGATCTTCCTCATGCAGCAGGCCCAGGCCCAGGCGCAGGCGCAGGGGCAAGGGCACACACCGACGCTGCAGCAGCTGTCGCAGCAGGCCATGTCCTTCTTCCCCTCCAACATCGATGCCCACCTGCCCCTGCCTGGCCCGGACTCCACCCCGACCTCCTCGGCATCCACCGTGGCTCAGAACCAGCTGCACCAGTGCCAGATCTTCCTCATGCAGCAGGCCCAGGCGCAGGCGCAGGCGCAGGGGCAAGGGTACACACCGACGCCGCAGCAGCTGTCGCAGCAGGCCATGTCCTTCTTCCCCTCCAACATCGATGCCCACCTGCCCCTGCCTGGCCCGATCCGCTTCCAGCAACCCCTGCCCCAGCAGCCACCACCGCCGCAGCAGCAGATCCACTCCTGGGGCCCGTCGCTGTTGCAGTCGTGGGCGTCCCTCCAGCAGCAGCAGCAGGCGGCAGTGGCAGCCGTGGCAAGGGTGCAGAGCCCTGAGGTTGAGATGGCTCTGCAGGACGTGATGCAGGTGTGCAACCCCGACATCAAGACACCCTTCCAGTCCATCGAGGATGCCGTGAACAGGTGGGGAACCGTATCGAAGTTTTTTCCTTTTTCTTCCATTATCCATGATATCGCCTATAATCTTGATCAGTACGGTTTCGCTTGCTTGGCTGAAATTAGGGTATTTTTATTTTTTACCTGTACTGATTCCAGCATTAGCATTCGAGATGAATTTGTTGCCTATTCTTGCTTGTTTGGATTGTTTGCCGTTTCTGGGGTTCCAATTGATGATTAAAAATTGGGAACATCTAAGAAATGTTAAGTAATTTCCATTTTATTTGGTGGATTGTGCATGTTGTTACATGCTAATGCTTGGAACTCTGGAAAAACACATCAAACAAAATTGTCCAAAAAAGTGAATACTAGGACTGGAGAACCAGGGCAACGTTTTTTCCTGGTCAAGGTCTTGTTGTGCATATTTCAGAAAACAAAATCAAGAGTAAACACATACAAGGTCTATATAAACAGACAGCACAATCAAAAAATTCTATGAGCACAGGCAGATATAGCAGTTCCCTTTTCCCGATGGTTCAAATTAAATGAATATAAACAAATACAGCTCCACTGTTTAATGCTTAGCAACCTGTTGAAGCTAACAGCAAGGCAGGTTCAGAATTTCAGGTATATTACTGTAGAACAAAACTGGATATACCAAAAGTGATCAACAAGGCAAATTCCCACAAAAGCAGCTAAAAGGTTAACAAAAATTATTTGCAGTCGCGCACATACTACAGGAGACAATGACAAAGATCCTCCTCTTAGCCCTCCCTTCACAAGCTTGACCTAATCTACCGAATTGGCAAGCATGTATCTAAACAATCAATTTCATACCCTGGATGTGGATCATGAGTGAAACTCACATTGCAAAGATTAGGACCAGTATAGCACGAATTGCTGGTTATCTTTTAGGGCTATAGTCCTTGATTAGTTTTGATTCATATATATTTAATATTTTATTAATGTGGCATACTTTAGTTTCTGGACTTATATTAAGTTGTAATTACGACTAGATTTTCCATGAGTGGTTTCATGGATTGCTTTATCGTAGGTTTGCTATAGAATGTTTGTGCTACTGATAAGGATGTCTTTGCAACTTCTCCAGTCATCCTTAACCTTTCTTTTTCATAATCCATTCTTTTTTTCTGTGACTAATTTTCTTCTACTGATTCTGTTATTATAAGCAAAGCATGAAGTCCAAGCAATCATGAGTTATGCAACATAAATGAAGTTGAATAGACAAAACCACATACTCATTCTTTAAGATGGCAATTTTTTCCTTCTTTCCATTCAGTGATAAATGCTAACGTTCACAGTACTGTTACTAGTTTTTCCAAGTAATTCTGTCAGTGGTCAGGTGGATTAGGTGGCGTGCATCTCTTATTAAGGTCAATACTTTATTTACTTCATTGCGACTATTTTTATATTTTACTCCAAAATCATAAAAAAGTGTTAATACTTGAATCATAAGTTAGTTGTGTAACTTTTGAAAGTTTGTTGGCTGACAACTGCTGAAATTCTGTTTGTAGTTTCAGTATCTGTTTTTCCAATGCTGGCCGTTTTCTTGATCTGAAAGGTTTAGTACTTTCTTGTTGTAACCAATCCTTAGGGTTTTGCTGATCATATTATACTGTTTCGTCGTGTGTCTGAGGGATGATAATATATACGTACCAAGAAGATGGCATTAGGATCATCGGAAATGAGGGGTGGAAATGAAAAGGGGGGTTCGGGGGATCTCCTATCCCTGTTATGACTTAGGAGGAAAAGGAAGAGAAGTGGGTTTTGATTTGGGATTTGGGACAAAAATGAGTTCTTTTTTCATGATTCTAAAGCCTAAACACAATGGAATGTGTGTTTGGTTGGGTGGTTGGGCTGTGGAAAAAGAGCATCAGCACCTTTTTACTCACCTATTGAGCATTAGCGTGATGTCTCTGCTGTTGACACCCATTCACTGGGCCTGTTGCTCTGTGGGTTGTTCTGTTGTCGGTAGCCATCGGCTGAAGACCCACCTTCATGAATCATCCCCTTGAGTTCATTTTGACTCTGAGATACTCGCCATCTGATTTCCTAGGCGAGATGGCGTGAAGAATTGATACAGGATCGTCGTTTCTTTGCCAGCTGCGCATCCATTCAGCCGGTCGTATTCCTAATTAATGTTGCTGCTAATCTCGACTGCTCTCGCTCCTTGATCTGGTCTTCTTTTCTGTGATTTCCTTTTACTTTTATTTTCCGAACCAAAATAAGTGGAGTGATTACAAAATATGGGAAGAGAATTAAACATCAACACCTATAGACCCAGACTGCCAAACCCAGTCTTTTGTATCCTACTCCATATGCTTTTCCTAAACCCATCACCTATCCAAATGTCACTAAAGAGTGATTAGTATAGCAGGAGTGAAGCCCTATTTCCTCATGGCATATGGGCCTACAACTCTTAACACTGCATAATACATTAAACAACTGATAAGTCTGATAAATCATTTAGTAAAGAATATTACACTAACAGTTATGTCAAAACAAAAATCTGTTGACCTGTAAATTCTTCTGGGCCATTATCCCAACAATAGCCTTGTATGCTTTGAAGGGGTAGCCTCGTGATAGAAGAAAGACACTCTTCACTGGTGATATCACATGCAAGGATGCAAAGGAGTGCAGCCAAGAGTGTTGTGATGAAATAGCTCATCGAATCATGATCAAACATTTTAGTTGTGATGCAGAAATTCTTTATGTGCTGAGTATGGTGGGGGTCCCCAATGTGGGTAGACCATCTCACCTGTCTCATCCAATTCTCTTTTTCCTGTATGGGTGCACTTCATCAACTGTCAGTGAAAATACAACTATGGGAATCAATGATTTTCACTTTACATGTCAGAGAATTCAATTATATAAATCCTTCTGACAGGATAATGTTAACAACCATTCTTTCAAGAACATTTTTCATCTTAGATATTTTCAAATATGCCATGTTTGAGCATAAGTTCTGAATTGGCAGATAACTTGGATTGAGTTTATTTGCTCAAATGTGCGGTTTCAATACTTTTAGATTATTTGATCGCTTCATGACATCTGAAGTTACTGATACCATCTTATGTATTGTGCATACTAGGCTACTACCCTACCATGTGGTTGCTGACTATGAGGCTGAAGAAGATGACAGAATCCTTGACAGTGATACAACTGGACAGATTCCTTCGCGCCTGCAGCAATGGGATCATAACATTCTGGTCAAAATTGCTGAGTTCACAACTACTTTTGAGAAACAAGTTTTGGCGTACAATATAATGACCAAGAAAAGAGCCATCGGCGAGTTCAGATCAGAGGAGCGGCTCATGCTGGAGCAGGCTTTGTTAATGGAGGAAAAGCAAGCTATGATGGGGCTAAGAGCAGAGATAGAATCAAGGGAGAAAGCAGGTCGTGAGGCTGCTGAAGCTAAGATGCGTATGGCAATGGCTGAACAAGCTCGAGCGGAGGCCCAAGCGCACTCGGAGATGATAGGTCATGGCCCTTTGAGGGCCCATGCTGCAGCGTCCCAAGGCGAAGATGGCCCTAGTCATGAGATGATGCAAGAGCAAGGTGAAGATGGATGGGGAAATGCTCAAAGGGACGATGAAGATCCATCTGAAGATTTCCTTAATGATGAAAATGAACCTGAGAATGGGAACTCTGATATGCAAGAGGACTGGCGCAGATCAGGAGAACTCGATCTGAACTCTAGGTAAGATTGGTGAGCTGGCTGAGATTGTGGGGGAAAAATAAGAACCATGAAAGTAGGTGAAGGCATGCGTTACATCTGCCAATAACTTTTATCTCTAGTTAAGTACTTAACTGGTTGTATGATCCGAGGTTAAGTTAGCTGCCTTTGTGGCTGTAAGCTCGTGATTTTAAGCTACCTGTTAGCTGCCCTGTTGTTAAACAGCGTGCAGAATGTTGTGATAGCCTCTTTTGTTTCACTTCACTCTGTTTTTTTAAGATGCGTTGTTAGGATGTTGGTTTTATTCTTAGTTACTTCTGATTTTCTAGTTGGTGCTCTCCAAAATATCCCCTGTTAGTGCAACTTGTGCTAATGTAACTTATCTAACTCAACTCAGCTTGCGCTAATGTAGCTATTCTAAATCAAGTCACGTAGTTCAACTAAAATGTTTGGTAGGTGTTATACCCAGGACATGTATATAGCGGAGATATGCAGCTAAAGTTTTATGAAAACACATGCCACTTGAGTTGAATTAGACTCATATAATAGGTGGATCCTCCACGGTTTTCCCCAAGCTGCAATCTCTTAGACACGTCAAACAAAAGGGGTGAATTTTGCGATGCCAATGCTCACTTGTCAGTTCATGATGATATTTCGATTTTCTCATGAAGTATATGTTGTAGGGTTTCCCAAACCGCCGGCCGGGGTTACCATGCCACGGTAAGTATGGTTACCGCGATAACTGTGGAAAACCGTACAAAACCATACAAAATTTATTAAAATTAAAATTATTTTTAAAATTTATTTGAATTTAAGGAGGTTACCGTGGTTTTTCTATTATCGTACCCTGCGGTAACCGCAAAAACCGCGCGGTTACCGACGTAATGCAAACCCTGATATGTGTTGTACTCCATATGAATGTTGTCAAAGTCGTGAGTATTGAATTGCTCCTATTACGCTCTAGCTCTAAAATAAAAATACGTCAAAGATTCAAACCCTGTTTCTAATACAATTCTGATACAGCACATTCAGTGACACGCACGATTAGAATATACTCCCTCCGTGTCATATTACAAATCATTTGGTTTTTTCTAGTCAAACTTTGTTAAGTTTGACCAAATTTATAGAAAAAATTAGTAACATCTAAAATATCAAATTAGTTTCATTAAATATCTTATATTAAATTTATTTTGATAATATATTTATTTTATACTAATATTTTTTTATAAACTTTGTTCAATTTAAAGAAGTTTAATTTGAAAAAAAATCAAACGAATTATAATATGAAACTTATAATATGGAGGGGAGGGAGCTGATTAAAAAAACAAAATTAGGATTCCGCGTAGCCACGTGTTTGTATATATAAGCACGCCTTGTGAGGCGACACGAAGACGTAGACACGTGGTGCTCTGCGTCAACAAAAATACCCTAGCTAGCTAGCAAGTCATGGCCGCCGCCTCGCCGCCGGCGGCGGCGGCGTCGAAGGACTGGGCGGCGCTGCCGAGCGACCTCCTGTGGAGCGTCTTCGCCGCGGCCGGCCAGGAGGAGATCCTCCGGGGCGCCGGCCTGGCGTGCTCCTCGTGGCGCCGCGCCGCGCGCGACGAGCCCGCGCTGTGGCGCCGCATCGACCTGCACAGCGACGTCGCCGCGCACGGCGCCGACTCCAGCTTCAGCGACGGCGGCGACGACGACGACGACGATGCCGACGATTCCGACGGCTACTCCGTTCCCGTCGAAGATGGCAGCCGCAGCGACGCCCTTGTCGAGGAATCCAACTCCGACGACGCGGAGAACAAAGGCGATGATGCCGCCTCCGTACAGTCCAACCGCAGCAGCGACGACGACTTCTTCGGTTTCAGCGACGCCTTCGTCGACGTCGAGGAATCCGACGACGACGACGACGATGTTCCAAGAAAAGAATCCGCCGACTACGAGTACGAGCCGAAGGGATGGAAAGAGATGGCGCGCGCCGGCGAATGCGTGGCTTTCTGGGGACGTGCTATAGATGGCCATAAGGCCCGGGGCCCGACGGCCCGGCCCAAGGCACGACAAATTGGCCCGGCCCAGGCACGGCACGGCCCGACTGGGGTCGTGCCCGTGCCGGCCCGGCCCAACAGCCGGGCCGTGCTTGGGCCGCTCCCTCGGCACGGTGGGCCGGCACGGCCCAGCACGAAAGAGGTCGGCACGGTGGGCCGGCACGGCCCGGCACGGTCCAACGGCAGGCACGGCCCGACCGAGGCCTGTTATGCCGGGTGGGTATAAATACCCCAAACCGCATCAAACCGACAAACCCTAACCCTAGCCACATCAGTCTGGAGTCTCGACCGATCCGCCGCTCGCCCGCTCCGCCTCCACCTCCAGGCTCCGACCCCTCAGCCCTCCACGCCTCCATCCCTCTTCGTCGGCGTCTCCGATGGATGCCTCGCCGGATCTAGCACCGAGGGTCAGCGGGCTCCCGCTGGGGGCTTGAGGGTCGTCTCTTCTCTATCCTTTTCTTTCATCTCTTTGGCTGATCTGTGACCGTGAGCTCTTCGTCTCCGCCTCTCCGGTCACCGGATCGACGGTCGCATTGTCGATTTCCTCTCCATTCTGTACTTTTTTTTTGCAACCCTCATCGTTTCTCTTCGTCAGATACTCAGATCCACTCATCCACCCCCCAAATCTAGTCTCTCCTCTTGTCTTCTCGTAGATCTGTGGATCTCTATCATCAACGGCAACTCCGGTGCTCCGGATGCGCAGGTACAAGCTTTTTTTTTAGTTTATTTTCTCTATTCGATCAGATCCGTAACTACTCTCTGTTCTCGTCGTTGTTTCATTTGTTCTTGCAGGTCGCTGAGCGGCAGGCGGCAGCCACCGTTGAGGAACCGGAGTGCCTGCGATGGATGGTGATCCAACCTCATGCAACTACGAGGCGAGGGTGATGGGGACGCAGGGTGATGACGAAGATGACTTGGAGGAGGAACGCATCGAGGTGTTTGGCAACACTGCTTCACCTCTGAGAGATCTGTCGCAGCCGGAGCCACACGATGATGGTACCGGTGCCGATGGCAACGGTGCTCCGTCTGGCTCAAGTGCTAGCAACAAGAGGTCCAGGTCTGAGGTATGGGACGACTTTGAAGAACTCTTTGAAGAGCGCAATGGCGCTCAGGTTCGCGTTTCTGCTAAATGCAATTACTGTCATAAAACATTGTCTGCTCGTTCAACTGGTGGTACTGGACATTTGCTTAGGCATATTAAATCGTGCAAACCTAGAAATGTTGGTGCTTTGTCTCAGTCCATGCTTAGGTTTAATGCTGATGGTTCTGTTAGTCAATGGGAATATAAACCGGATGTGGCTAGAACTGAGTTGGTTAGGTTGATTGCTAGAGAGGATCTTCCACTTACTTTTGGTCAATCTGCTGCTTTTGAGGAGTATATTCAGAATGCTCACAACCCTAGATTTAGTGTTGTCTCTAGGCAAACTATCAGTAGGGACGTTTTTAAGGTCTTCGACAAGAGACGTGCTATGCTTATTGATACTTTGAAGTCTGTTAGCTCTGTTGCTTTGACATCTGATATATGGTCTGGTAATGCTAAGGAGGATTATTTGAGTGTTGTTGCCCATTTTGTTAATTCTAATTGGCAATTAGAGAAGAGGATTTTGGGACTGGTGCTAATTGATGTGTCACACAATGCTGAAAATATTTCTGAACGTGTGCTTTCTGTTGTTCAAGAATATGGTTTGACTAATAAGATCTTCTCTATTACCCTGGACAATGCCTCTGCTAATTCTAAAGCAATGGATAGTCTTAAACCTGCTCTGTCTGGTTATATTGGTGATTTATATTTGCATCAGCGTTGTGCATGTCATATCATCAATTTAATTGTTAAGGCTGGTCTAGAAATCTTCAAACCCATGCTTCAAGATTTTAGAACTGCTATTTCATTTATAAATGCATCTAATCAGCGCATTGCTTTATACAAAAACTTCTGCATTGCTAAAGGTATTCGTCCTCGTAAATTTGGTTTGGACATGGATGTTAGATGGAATGCAACTTATCTAATGCTTAAGCATCTCTTGCCACATAGGGTCATTTTTTCAGTGTTTATTGCATCTCACCATCCAATGGCTGATGGTCAGCCATTACTGACTGATTTACACTGGACAATTGCTGAAACTGTTCTTTTATTCCTTGAACAATTTTATGATTCAACTGTTATTTTGTCTGGTGTTTATTATCCAACATCTCCATTAATTATGCATCACATTCTTGAGATTGCTGGACATCTAAATACTTATGAGAATGATTGGAACCTTAGAAATGTTGTTGTTCCCATGAAAAATAAGTTCTTGTCATACTGGTCTGAGATTCCATTTCTGTATTCATTTGCTTTTATCTTGGATCCTAGGGCCAAGATCAGGGGTTTTAGCAATGTTCTCCAAATTATGGGACAACTTATTAGTGGTGATTACTCTGCATATTTAAATGAGGTTAGGGCTGCATTGTCTGACATGTATGCTAAGTATGAAAGTAAATTTGGTGCTGTGAGATTACAAAGGGCAACCCCAAGCTCTTCTTCTGGTAAGAAAAAGACAGCTTGGGGGAAAATTTTTGGTGCTGCTGCTTGTGGTTCCAGTCTTGGTGCTGGACTTGGTGCTGGTAATGCTGGTGCTAGTGCCAGTCCAGGTTCTGGATTTGGTGCTGGTGCCAGTCCAGGTTCTGGATTTGGTGCTAGTGCCAGTCCAGGTTCTGGACTTGGTGATGCTGGTGCCAGTGCAGGATCTGGACTTGGTGCTGGTGCATTTTCTAGGAGAACTTCTGCTACCGCTTTGATTCAGGCTGTTTCTTCTACTGCTAACATGAATGCATCTGAGTTGTTTGCCTATCTTGACAGTGACACTGTCAACCAATACGATGATGACTTCAATATCCTTAACTGGTGGCATGAGCACAACCACACCTATCCTATTCTTTCCATATTAGCTAGGGATGTTTTGACTGTTCCTGTTTCTACTATATCATCGGAATCTGCTTTTAGCTTAACTGGCAGGATCATCGAGGAGCGACGACGGCGTCTAGCTCCTGACATGGTGCAAGCTTTGGCACTAATCAAAGATTGGGAGCAAGCAGATGCAAAGATGCAACATACCATGGAGAATTTAGAGCTTATAAACTCTTTTGACAATTTGTTTCTTGATGAAGTAACCACTGCCACTGGGACTGGATGATTGTATTGGACTTGGACTTTATTATGAACATTTGATTAATGCTGTGGGCTGCACTCTTTTTTCCTTTCTAGGGTTTTCTCACGAGGTGTGAGTTTTTACCTAGAAAGGTTTTTAACGAG